TCCAGTCTGGGCGACAGAGTGAGACTCCAACTCAAAAAAAAAAAAAAAAATTGCAGTTATAAATGTAATTGACAGGTGAGTGGATGAATATGAAGACCCATACAGACAGACATGAATAGCAGCATGGAAATGAGACTTTTGGACTCAAGAGTACAGATATCATTGGAAACATTAATGAAATCCTGTGTCATTACTGTTGACAAACGGAAGTTCGTACCGAAACAATAAGATACAAGAAAAATCGAAACATGAATAGAGAGTGAGAGAAAGATGGAATCTGATAGTGGTAAATGAGTTTGTAGGTGCTAGGTGATCCGATTTAACCTGTCATCAGCCCTGGGAAACCTAGATAAGTGTTCAAGTCCTACAAAGTCTATTTGGAAACTTAGTTACCATGTGCTGAATGAAGGAATGAATCATTTGTCTCTATTTAAAAAAAAGTTGTGCTGTTTTCCCAAGGTTCTAGTTCCTGTTTCAGTGATATGTGAGACTCAGTGGAGATATGGGAGATCTTCCCCATTCCCTTAGCAGTCTAGTCTGCCCAGTCTTGGAGGTCACGGTGGGGGCTATGTTACAAACACGTTTTGGGTTTCATGTGAGCAGATTCCTAAAATGAGCAATCCAAAGCTTGTTATACACTTAATCTAAAGAATAACATTCATTAAGGCTTTATTTATTCCAGGGATTAACTCAGATGACCATTCATTGGTAGTTTAAAAATATTGCCTCTCCTTTAGATGTAAGATTTTCTGACTATTTTTATTTATCTGGTGAATTTAAGATATGTTTATAAACACTTTTTAATGATTTCATAAAGATTGAAATGTATACATTTCTTGTTTAGCATTTGATATTTTATTATTTTGAAATTGTTACTAGTGAAGTTTTAGGTGTAAGACACTTGAGACAAGAATGAATCCTGAAATGGAGAGCTGCTCTTTGTAAGTATGATGAAATATTAATTTTTTATGTTTCTTCAGGGATATCAAGGAATTGCAGGATCACCAGGTGTCCCAGGAGCTCCAGGAATACAAGTATGTGATCCGTTTATATACATTTTAGTAATCAAATTTCTAGGGAACCAAATAATATCATTAACAAAATTTTTTTTGTGGTTAATTTAGGGAGCTCGAGGACTACCAGGTTACAAAGGAGAACCAGGGAGAGATGGTGAAAAGGTAAACACTCACAAATAAAAATGCAGTCAGTGGTTTTAGTCACTCAGAAACAAAGGATGTTTGTGAATATGGCTCTCGTTCAATAGTCTTCACCTTGGTGAATTATAAGATTTGTGGGATCAGACATTTGTTAGTGGCAATTGACTGATAAAACTTATTAAAAGCTTTTATCTTTAGATAAAAGAGATCAATATTCACCACTGTCAAATGAAACAGACATTGGCATTATCCTGGTGCCATGTTCTCTCCCTGTGGTTAAGTTCCACAGGAAGCTACTTTCTTAGAGGATAGTGAATTGTGTGAAAGGAATGTGGTGGCCCAATACTGAAAGTCCATCTCTATACTAGGTATCTATCTTTGTAGGTGGCCTATGGACTTAACCTTAATGGACTTTATCTTTAGGGCTTCAGTGGGTACAGACAACATATCTATTACTGACTTTTTAAACAACTCAGATTTGTCAAGCTTCCTGTTGAAGTATATGTTCTTTAAATATGTCAAATATACTAGTACCTTCCCATGGAGCTAGTCAATGCCTGCTGGGCCCTGGTGATTATTTCATGACCAAGATGTCTATTTGTATTTGCTCAGATCTCCATGTTGATTTGTTCACTTAATTCCTAAAGTACAGTCTTATTTCCAACGTCTTTGAAGGCATTTTGCTGTTTGCTCATGATAAAAACCTAGTGATTTTCTACTGCCATTCTCACAAAATTCTACCTTATTAAATGATGTACACAGTATTCATATTTGAGAAACACTGATCTAGACTACTATCTCTATTTTATGTGTTTATGGTTACTTATGTTGGTTGCAGAAAATTGTAGTTGTTACAAGTACCATCCCAGGTCTGATGGATCTGCTACTCTCAAACTATTTGACCTTGGCCACATAATGTCTCTGAATCATATTTCTTCATTGTTAAACTAGGGGTTTTTAAATAGGTTTATTGTGAGCTAAATGAGATAATACATGAAAACTATACTCATATAGTATAGTTCCTGGCACAGTTTTTCTTAAATAAGTGGTTCTTTTTTGTGGTTGTGATTTGTTTGTCAAGTTGCATAGTTGTAGTTGGGATATAGCATGGGTTGGGCTGGCATGAGCAAATTGTGGGTGAAAGCATTCACCATGGCAAACAGGAGGCCTAGTGACTGACAAAGAAAGAGAGAACTGATAGATAAGCAAAGGCAGATTTATAATATGGGGAGAATTAGAGGAGATAAAGCAGAAGGAAGTCAATCTAATTCCTGAAGAAGAAATATAAAATCCTCCTGTCTACTGAGTGGCCCTGGGCTGTAGGGGTCTTTTTAGCCACTGAGCCATCTCTGCCAGTTTTAAGTGATGAAGGAATCTTTAGAGACAGTAGGGAGCAGCCCAGGCTACAGGAATGGGAGATGTCTTATAGTTATGCTCTGGAGATGTCATAAGAAACAACCTGACCTTCTTCAGGTGAAGGGGGATTCTACCAGGAGGGAGAGGACAGCTGTTTTGAAGCTTCCATGTGTCAGGAACTTCACCTATATTCTAGCCTACAGGATCATTACTGACTCACAAATAGCCTAATTTTAGGGGAAAAGATTATGAAAGTATGCATGTATGAATGAATGAATAAATGTCTTAATTTTTCTCTTTGAGTTTTTACATTTCTATTTTTAAATTACCAGAAAATATTGTATGTATTTGCCATGTACAACAAGTTTTAAAGTATATATTCACTGTGAATAACTATATCTAACTAATTATTGTACACATAGCTATCATTTTTGTGGTGAGAACACTTTATATTCACTTTTAGCATTTTTCAAGAATATAGTATATTATTAACCATAGTCATCATGTTGTACAATAAGTGTCTTGAACTTATCCTTAGCATCTAATTGAAATTTTATATCCTTTGACCAACGTCTTGCTAACATCCACTCCTCCCAATCACCCCAGCCTCTGGGAACCATTCCTCTACTTTCTACTTCTATGAAATTAACTTTTTTAGATTCCACATGTGAGATGATATAGTATTTGTCGTTCTGTGCCTGATTTATTTCACTGAACATAATATCTTCCAAGTCATCCATGTTATTGCAAATGACAGAATTACCTTCTTTTTTTTTTATAGCTGAATGATATCCTATTGTGTATGTATACCACATTTTCTTGATCCATTTTCTCATTGGTGAACACTTAGATTGAGTCCATATCTTGGCTATTGTAAACAGTGTTGCAATGAATATGGGGGTGCAGGTTATCTCCTCAACATATTGATTTCATTCTTTAGGTAAGTCTTAGAAACCACATGTAAAAAGGGGGTTTTTCAGTTGCATATTTTAGAAGAATTAAAGTTTTATGGGAATAAATGCCTCATTTTAAAATAGAAGAACACCAATAATTCTACTAGTGGCATCTTACACTAACTGCTTTGTTGTTTTGGGTCATTGTGCTGTCTTTTAAATATAGGTGTGTGAGTTTTACAAAGTTGTTCATTCTAGTGGATTTGATAAATAAGACGGATGTTTATGCAGAGGTCTCTGTTTTCAGACCAGTAGTGATTTAATTCAGAACTGATTATTTTCTGAAGTTCATTGTTGGGGTTAAACTCTGATTTGACATAGTCATTGTGGGCCTAAAATTACCATGTGCTACCTTCCAAGTTTCCTTCTCACATTACATGTGGCTTCTGAGAGTTCTTTACCCAGAGTTAATATAATAGAGCATGTTAATTAAAGACTTTCCTTGATTTTCAGAAATGGGAAGATTAAAAATCATACCCCTGAGATGGCTTTGACTGTGGCAGTGCAGGATACTTTTCCCAGACATCACAGAGTGGCCTTTGTAAGATTGTTCCACACAATACTGTTCTGCATTAGGATATTTTCCTAGAATAATTTCCATGTTGTGAATTTTCCCTGAAGTATGAGTTTCCACTTAAGATAATGAAAATTAGATGTACTTTCTTGCTAACTTTAGCATTTGTTCTCATATCATACAATAGAATGTATGTAGATTTGCAGGGGTTTGTTTTCCTGGATTTGCAAAGTCAAAAAACAAAACAAAACAAACTTCAGCAAATGGTCTTTAATTGGTAACTCATTTTATTACATGCATTAAAGTTATTATTTAAAATCTAAAAAGATACTTTAAATATTTTAAAGTACTTCCTCAACTTTAAGGATGCCTAACATATTTAAGTTGTGTAGAAAAATATATTTTGTAAAACTTCTATTAAGATGTTTTGGTTAATTGATACATATTTATGAGTTTTCAAAATTGAGTATGAATCTTTTCTATGGCAACATCAACGTTGGAGATACAGGAAGAATGAATAATTTATTTATTTATTTATTTATTTATTTCATTTATTGTAGAGATGAGGTCTCACCAAGTTGCCCAGGTGGGCCTTGAACCCGTGGGCTCGGGCAATCCACTCACCTCAGCCTCCCAAAGGCGTGGGATTACAGGCTGAGCCACCGAGCCCGGCTATAATTTATTTTTTAACCTATCCAGACTTTGTACAAGCTCATACCTGTTTTTTCTGGGCTTAAGAAATAAACGTATTAACTATATCTAAGGTACTGTTATTATTGGACAAAAAATACATTTTATTTTCTTTGTTAGAACATTCAGCTTTTAAGTGGCCCCTTCAAACTCTCAATTTCCCATTGTTCTCAGCATCCAGGCCACAGTATCACAGGATAGTCCCACCTGAATAAAGTTACTTACTACTGGGCTTGCACATCAAAAGACTAATTAGCCGTGGTTTTATAGTTATTTTTTATATAGTTAGTCATAACCAAGGAATTTCAATACTTATTTTTATTTTGAGAGAAGAGTAATAAAGAACCTAAAGAAAGGTGTTTTAAAGGAATGATACGTTTAAAACTTTGCACTTTAGTGGTGTTACTTCTTGCAGTGTTTCTGCAAAGTTTACAAAATTAAAACAAAGCCTATAGGAATATAGGAGAAAGAAATAGAACAAAGTTGCTCCTGGTTCTGCTTTCTCAAAAAGGCAGAGTAACCTACCCATGTAGCTTTCTGATAGCCCCATACGCCTAAACACTGGTGTGTGTGTGTGTGTGTGTGTGTGTGTGTGTGTGTGTGTGTGTATACATGCGTGTAAGAGTAGGGAGCTTAAAGTAGCTACAGGTTATAAGCTTAGTTCTGAATTCAGAGTTCTGAATTCTCAAGTCATGCTTCTTAGTCTATTTAAACCTGGTTTTTATCATCTGGAAAGTAGAGGTTATAGCATTTTTGAGGAGATTAAATGAGGCCTTGCATGTGGTTGGCATAAATTAAGCACCATAAATTAGTGAATATTCATGATGGTGGTTTGTCATCAAGACGACCATTCTGCTAATTATCTAAGGTAAAACTTTTAGAAATACCTTTGGTTTATCCTTTATTTTTTTTTCTATCTGCTGAAGTGCCCACTTGAAACAATCAGACAGAATTTTCTAACTTTCTTCCCACTACATCTACCTTCTTAACTGTAGACGTACCCATTCTCTGCCCTTCCTCCTATTAATGAGTGAACTGTCCATGTATAATCCACAAGCCTCTTCTTGTACCTTGGATCCTGTCTTTCTCCATTACTTTGTGTTATTAATTAGCCCATCTGTGTCATTAGTTTTTTCTTTTCCAGTTAAATTTTCCCAACAGCCCAAAGGATGATCCATCTGAAATCAACCAAACAAAATCCCTCTTCCTCTACCATATAGCCTTCCTTAGCTAGTACCCTATTTCTGTTTCTTATCACAATGTAAGTACTCCAAAAGGGTTGTTTTTATTTTCTGCACCTTCTTATTAATAATTCCCTTTCACTTTCTAACTCACTCCAGTAAGACTTTCATCCCAACCTTCTGTTGCATATTAGACTGTCAATCTTCCATCTTTGGAATCAAGAGTGTTTTTCACTGATTTCTTCTTGTCCTGCAGTATGTCTCAGCAGCATTTGCCATAGCTGACTATTTCTTCTTTCTTGGAATGATTTTTTTCTCTTGGCTTCT